CCCGCCGTCTCTGTCGCCCGGGCCGCCTCGATGCGGCCCAGGCGTTTCCGGGTTCCCGCGGTCCCGTCCGCCAAAGGCTCCGGCTTCCGCCTCGGCCCCGGCAAACGCCGTTCCCTGCTCGGCTCCGGTGGCCCCAGCTTCGCGCTTGCCAGCCGCCTCCCCGAGGCGACCACACCGGGGCAGCCCCGTGACAGCCTCCCGGTCGCGGGACCGTGATGGGAAGGGTGTCTCTGCCGACGGTCCGGCTGCAGAAAGTGGCAGGATGACCCGCAACTTAGGGCAGGGCAAAGTCCTTTGGGCCAAAGAACCCTGATAGAGCACCGGGAGGCGGATCTTGGCTCCTGAAAATGACCACCAGTGAGTTGAAAACAAGATTATCCCTGGTGCCGGTTACCAACCTTAGTCTAGGAACCAGCTTGTTTGGTTGGAAATGACCCCTGCCCCCACTCTGACAGCCCTGGAGCGTCTCAGGAATGCAAAAGGGGCTTAGTGTCACTAAAACAGGGGAAAGGTGCAGAGAGAGAGAGAGAGACCACCTTATAGGAGAACCATTCACCTCGTCCTGTCTGCAAGGAGCTCAAACATACTACTTTTTAAAGTCTTCTTTAAAGTAGTATCTATTTCGAAAATCTTCCAACCATGGTAGCCTATACTGGCAATGGACAGGCTGAAATGTAATATTCTGGGTGCGGTTTGATCATCGGATACAGCAGATTTATCCATTTCCTGTTAACACAATGCTCCCAGAATTAAGCTTATGCGTCTTCATATTGCCAATGATTAAAACCATGACTTACGGAACACAGTTAGGAAACAGCAAAGAGAAAAATAAACTTAGATGACTTAGCACAGAATGCCTCGCTTTAAATCTTCGTGTAGTCCGGTCTTCAGAAAACTTCTGGATGATGGAATGTAAACTAGACCTTGATATTTACTGGGTCCGAATCTAAAATGGCCCCCAAAGGTCCCTCATATGGTAAAGGCTCGTTGCCAGCTAATGGGCTTCGTGGTGGGAGAAGGGAGTGGATAGAGAGGGCTCTGGCCTAAGCCACTGATGGATTAAATTTTTGAAGGTATTATTAGGAGATGGTGTAAATTGTGGAACAGGCAGGCCTATTTGGAAGTGGGTCACTGGCTTTTGAGGGTGTGTCTTACCCAGGCCTTCTTGGGGGTGGGGAGCTCTCCTTGCGGCCAGTATGCTTTTTGGTAAATAACTACCGCACCACATACACCCCAACCAGAGACCCAGAAGCAACGGAACCAAGCGACCATAAACCAAACATTCTGCAGTCATGAACCCAAATAAGCCCTCCTTCCAAAGTTGTTTTTGCAGGGATTTCCTCAAAGCAGCAAAAAGTAACTAATACAATACTTATCTTTACTTTTTTTCTTTCTTATAAAGACAGGATCTCACATTGTAGCTCAGGCTGGCTCTAGGCTGGCCTTGGAGACCTTGATCTCCTGGCAACCATCCTGTCTCTGCCTCTCTGTTCTGGGATCACGGGCTTGAGCTATCACATCTGCTTTCTTTCTTTACCCTTTTCTCTTCCCTACCCCCACCCCCCAAAACTATTGGAAATTAAGCCCAAGCTTTTGTACCTCATGTACTTTCCCATCGAGCCCTTTCTCCATATTTTAAAACAAACTTAATATGCTTAGTACATGATCGTTACAGCTTGACCCTATTCTGAGGTGTGTGTGTGTGTGTGTGTGTGTGTGTGTGTGTGTGTGTGTTATATACAGGTACCCAGAAAACTGTTGGTACTCCATAAATCTGTTATAAAGGAAAAGAGGATTTAAGATATATAGTAAGAAAAATATACCTTACAACATAAATTCTTTTCTGTTGTTCTTTTATTTTGGTTTTGAAAAGAGGGTCTCCTTATGTAGTTCAGGCTGCCCTAAAACTTGCCATATAGCCCAGGCTGGCTACAAACTTATTTATTTGGGCCTTGGCCTCTTGAGTGCTGGAATTAAGGCAGATACCACCATGTTCACTGTCACAGAAACACTGATCAGAGAAAAGGATGATTTTCTCATTTTTTCCCAGGAAACTTTAATGTGATTAAAAAAAAATAGTTTTATCAGCTGCACATCACTCAGAATTTCAATGTTGCCCCTGGAGATTTTAGTGGTGATGCCTAAAGCCTGGAAGAAGGAGGTCTTCTCGGGCCCCAGACCAGTGTTCTGGGCTGGCACAGTGACCTCACATGGGGCGATGGCACCAGCACGGGCAGCGGCCGGCACCTTATTGGCCAGTAGCATGTCCCTAATCTCCGTGAGGTCCTCCTTGGTGAACACAAAGCCCACATTACCCCGGATATGAGGTAACAGTTTCTCCAGAGCTGGGTTGTTCTCCAGGTGCCCCCGGATGGCCTTGCTCATCATGGTGTTCTTGCCCATCAGCACCACAGCCTTCCCTCGCAGGGACATGCGGATCTGCTGCATCTGCTTGGAGCCCACATTGTCTGCTCCCACAATGAAGCATTTTGGGTAATCATCCAAAAGTTGGATGATCTTAAGGAAGTAGTTGGACTTCTAGGTTGCCCTGTCTTCCCTGGGCATCACGGCGGTGCGTCAGGGATTGCCACGCGGGGTTTAAAGACGATGTCACTCCGAGGAGGACGCCTGGCGAGACAAAGTAGGTGCTAGTGAAGCCACACTGCTGAACATGCTCAACATCTCGCCCTTCTCCTTCGGGCTGATCATCCAGCATGTGTTCGACAACGGCAGCATTTACAACCCGGAAGTGCTTGACATCACAGAGCAGACGCTGCACTCCCGCTTCCTGGAGGGTGTCCGAAATGTTGCCAGTGTTTGTCTGCAGACTGGTTACCCGACTGTTGCCTCAGTGCCGCACTCTATCATCAATGGGTACAAGCGGGTTCTGGCTTTGTCTGTGGAGACTGAGTACACCTTCCCACTTGCTGAAAAGGTCAAGGCCTTCTTGGCTGATCCATCTGCCTTCGCGGCTGCTGCCCCTGTGGCCGCCGCCACCACTGCTGCTCCTGCTGCCGCTGCAGCCCAGCCAAGGCTGAAGCCAAGGAAGAGTCGGAGGAATCAGATGAGGATATGGGATTTGGTCTCTTTGACTAATCCCCTCAAAACAACCAACTCAGCCAGCTTAATTTGAGAAACATGGAAATAAATAAAAGCTACTTCTGTTAAAAAAAAAAAATAGAAGCAGAAGCCCTTATAATTATGAAGTAAGTAGTGACATGTGCTTTGCTGCCTTGGAAGGAATGGAACTGAAAAATGACCTAAAACAGTGAAAGTGGTCAAGTTTACACCATTAATGTAAGGCATGAAGCCAAGTGATGAGCCTTTTGTGATACAAAAATGCAACTGTAGTCCTAGCTGCTTGAGAATCCAAAGCAGGATAACTTGAGCTTAGAAGTTCAAGGCTAACCTGGGCAACTTTGTAAAATTCTCTCTCTCCAAGAAAGAGGATTTTTGAACATGCTTTAAAGATGTAGGAGAGGTCAGGTTGGCTCACAAGGAATCCTTGCTTAGCATGTATGGGGCCCTGGGATCAATCCTCGGGGCTGCAGAAGAGAAAAACAATAGAATAGGAGGCCAAAGGTCTACTTAGGTTGTTGTCTCTTCTTGCTTTAACTGTGGTGGTTTGGATGAATCCAGAAACTCATCCATTTCCCTTAGCTTTTCCAACTTAATGGAGTACAGGTTTTCAAAGTACTTACAATATTCTGAATTTCTTCGTTGTCTGTTGTAATGTTTCGATGTTTATTCCCGATTCTGTTAATTTGGGACATGTCTTTCTTTCCAGTTTAAAAAAAGTAATACTTTCACTGGCCCTTTACTGGCTCCACAATTTATGGCCCAGTACATAACCTACTTTCCTGTGTACAAAATGTGTTTGACCAATCCCATCCCTCTCTTTGGGTCTTCACTAACTTTAGAATGTTTTCCAGTCAGTCATTGTTTTTATAGTTGGCCCACCCACTGCGCTCAGAAACTATCATCCTCAAACTTGAAGCATTTCTTTCTCCCTTTCTTCGAAGGGCCTAAATCCCTTCTCACTGGCCCCAATAGCATCTCAAATCATTCTGTGTATATCTATATAATTTCACTTCTTTTCTTGTTGTGATTTCCTTTTATATTGCTCAACAAACACTTCCTGTGGTGATATATTGTGTACCCCAATAAAGCTTACCTGGGATCAGAGAACAGAGCCAGCCACTAAATTAGATATAGAAGTCCGGCAGTGGTGGCACACACCTTTAATCCTATCACTCAGGAGGCAGAGATGCATTTAGGCTACATGAGAGAAATAGAACTAGGCAGTGGTGGTACACAACTTTAATCCCAGGAAGTAATATGGCAGGACACAGAAAGGTATATAAGGCGTGAGGAAACAGGAACTCACTGTCTTGAGGCTGAGGGTTTCATAGAGGTGAGCTAGTGGCTGGCTATTCTGCTTCTCTGATCTTTCAGCTTTCACCCCAATATCTGGCTCTGGGTTTTTTATTATAAGACCTTTAAGATTCATGTTACAACTTTCCTTGAGGTCAGTGCTATCCTAATGATTTTTGCATTGCCAGCATTTTAGCAAAATGCCTAGCACATAAAAAGTGTATGCCAGGCAAAGGGTGTAATCCTGTAACCACCATGCTGGCAGCAACAAAGTTATTCTCTTGTCCATTTAATTGACTTATTGAGGACAAGTTGTCTAACCTAGCCTGTTAGGGGTTCCAGGGCCCCAGGCTCTAAACGTAACCCATCAGTAATGATTCCAGCACTTGTGGGGCTAAAGCAGGAAAATTCTTGTGAACTGAAGGCTAGCCTGGGCTACACAGTGAGTTGCAAAGGGCCTAAGCTATATAGTGAGACTCTGTCTGAAACAACAACAACCAGAAACTCAATGTATATTTCCTGAACTGCATGGAACTGAAACAAGTTGTTTGATGATGGCATGAGAGAGAAAGCAGAAGACTTCAAAAGTTCACCAGAGCGAGTGTTAGCAGAACATGAGCTGCAAGTCTGGACATAAAGGAGCTCAAGTCAATAGTCAAGCCTGAAGCTCTTCTGACAATAAGAATCCATTCACTCTTAAGTGCTGTGCCCATTTTCTTCTTGAACAGTTACAGCAGCCTGATAAAGTAATCATTAGGGCCTGGCCTTCCACAGAAAGCAAAACTGGCTCTTACAGTCATGAAATAATTTGACACTCCCATGTACACTGAAGGGATAGGCTGGAACTCAAATCCCCAGTTGTCCAAGAAGGCCATACTTTTTTTTTTTTTTAATGCTAGAGATCAAACCCAGACCTTCTGCATGTGTCAAGCAAGAGCTACACCATGAACTCCTAAAGGAAAAGAAAAAAAAACTTGAAGAAATTACATTTAACTACAGGAATGTCAAAATGAGACAGGAGAGAAGTGACCATAGAATAAAGAGGAGACAGCAGAGGCAAAAGTAGAGTCAGAGAGACAAGTGTTAGCGAATAACCAGAAGACCATGAATGAGGAAAGAGAAACAGTTCGGTACACTGTGCCAGGAGGCCAGGTTTCTTAATCATCTGATCTTTGTGTGTATGTGTGTGTGTGTGTGTGTGTGTGTGTGTGTATGTGTATGTGTGTGTGT